GCGGCCAAATTAAAAAGCCATGTATTCAATGGCCTCAAGAGTCCGTATTTCTGTACAAGAACTCAGTGCACAAAGGAAGTTGCTTTGCGTCTCCTGAACTGTTTCAGTTAAATCGGACGCATCAGCTGTAATCTTTTGTCAACTGAAATTGTTCAGCTTAACATCATCCCCATGTTTAAAAAAAACATTGACATAGTCTTACTGCTTATCCACAGAATTTCAGTGCCTTCTCCCTGGGCTCTCAAAGCCTTTTACATGTATTAAACTAAGCCTTATAATGCCCTTGTGAAAGAAGTAAAATCATACTTATCATAAAGATGGGGTATTGGGACTGTGTATAGGGGCTTGCCCGCAATCCCATGATGGGGGTCTGCAGCAGAGCTGGGATAGACCTGGATCCCTGCTCTCCCATGCCTGTGCCTTAGACAAGAGGATCATCCTTTCATGAAAGTGAAAAACTTGCCTCGTTAGGTAGGGTCAGGCTGTGTGCAGCCGGTTCCCATATCTCTTCTAATACACTGCAGTCAGACCTGTCATCCCCTAAGAGTGGACTTCTCATGAGAAGCGAGCTAACAGCTGTCAGATTGTGTGTTTGATTTGGATATTGGACACATTCGCATTCAGGGCTAAGCTGACAAAGCTGAACTCATCTCCCCTATAACCTAAGCCTCATTTCAACCCAGGTTCTCCAGAGGTGAACTGCTGTTGTAATAAACAATTACTGAGTATAACCTTAATGATGTGAGCATTAATATTGATCCAGCACTGGCTTCTCTTACAAAAATATCCGTTATCTTGAAAAACCTCCCAAACAGCCTGAGTCTCCTTTCATTACAGGAGAGAGTTATTAGGCCAGATGGCTGAGGTGATATCCATTTGACCTGTAGATGCTAACTCAGGAGTGGTGCCTTTCATAAGGTGGCTGGAAATAGGAGAGATCACAGTGAAGACAGTTAAAAGCAATCCACTGTAGCAAGCATTGCATGTAGGGTAGCGTAGGGAGGCCAACTGATGGAGCGAATGCTGAAAAACAATTCCACTGCAGCCTTTGTCCCCGTGTTTTCAAATGGTCATAACGTAGGCAAATTATCTTTTGGAAGGAAACATTTTCCTGCGCATGGTCTCTGTCCCCTCTTCCCCCATGGGGAAGAAAATGATCTGCTAGTTCTTGAATGAGATGTTTGGGGCATTCATCTTCTTTTATTAGAGTATCTTGCCATGCATTTATCTTGCCAAATATTTATTACCAGGGCCACCACTATAATAACTTTGCTTTGAGATTTCCTGTGTGGTAGGACTCGAGTCATTTAGGACCACTCAGCAGCCCAGTCAAATGAAATTTGGATTTCACTTAACCATATGATGCTAGACTGCCATGCGAGCGTGCATGAAGAGCACTCCGCGTGTGCCAGTTGTAACGTGCTCAAGATCTTCCTTAATAGCCTTTGAATTGTTCGGACCTGGCCCAGACAGTTTTTCCTCACATTTCAGATCATCCAGATTCTTCCAAAAGGAAAGCTGATGCTTTTGCATTCGGACTAAATTGTCTTTATAGGAATATGCACGAATTTGTGGCCCCCAGGGAGACCTAGGGATTTAGTCTTTATCTCTGCAAACTGGACTTAAATAACCTCTGTCCTTCCTAAGCTTTTTCAAGCAAGACCTTTGAAACCTCTTTGGCTGTGTGGACCCTCCCGTGTCTTAGAAGAACAGGCATCCGCTATATCACTGAAGAAAAATTCTTCTGGCTTCCCCAAACATTTTTATTCAGAGCCCTTACCATGGATTGGTTGTCAGTGCCACAGCCTATGACCCACAATGTTGTATAGATAGAAGCACCTTGGATTGAAAAGTTATGAAAGTGTATTACTTACCTGGCAGGGGAAATACCCTGACCAAGGTAATGCAATTAAAATGTCACTGTGTAGTGGAAGGTACACCCTTGTCTGTTTGCAGACCAGATTCCCTATGGGAGCCTCATAGTTAGCTTCCCACTGGCCAGCTTTCAGTGAGAGGATTTCGGCTACACGCTGACTTTATAGAAATGGGAGATTCCTCCCTACCTTGCTTGTGCTGCCATTCAGATGAGGGCAAGTGAAACTTGGGGGCATCCAAACCCCAAGTCTCTGGGCTTGGGCCTGTGCATAGGATGCCCACCAAAGGATTTGGAAGTATCTGAAGCCCCAGGCTGGGGCGGAGGATACTTGCTGGTAGCAGGGCCACATATGGTTCTTGGATGATTCGGATGGATTCGGACCTGATCTGGCTAATATGACCTGGGACACTAAAAATTTTCCTTAAAAAAACCCAAAACATTACATTGTAATTCATGCTAGTGGGGAACATTGTATTAGCCTAGCTCTCTAACTGAGACACTAAGCAAAACACTGGCTAGTGAATGTTTAGTTTTTAAAGTATATATACTTTTTTTTTAGTTTTTTTTTTTTAATTTTGAGTAATATGGCTACAGTAGTTTTTCATCTTGTTTAATGCTACGTGTACCTCTACAACTCCGTAAATCCGTATATAACATTGTTTTTTATTGACACTCCTAAAATGAAAACAACAATATTCCCTGTCTTACCCTGAGGCTTTGGATTTGGCCACGTTTTCAGTTTTGTAACCTGACGAAGTATGTAGTTCTGACTTTAAAGTCCAGGTTTTCTGTTGAATTATATATATTTTTTCTCCCTGTCTGTCTGTCTGTCTGTCTTTTGTTAAACGAACATAAACTCCTCAGGGGTAAATGTGTTTAGTGGGGTTGGGAGAAAATAGAGATAGCATCATATGCTGAAGCGGCATCAGTGCTGTATAACTCTGATATTTATTCCTTCTCAGGCTTGTGCTAGTTTGGCACCTAAGGATAAACCTATTCATATAACAGATCAGACAGAGCTTAAAGCTGACTTCAGGATCCTGAAGGATAAACATTGGGTAGATCTTATTTCTAGCAGGCACAGCCTTGGCCAACAGTGATTTCTCAGTTTTACGCTTAACTTTGGTATTTAAAATATAAAATGTGACTGCCCATCCAGGCCAAATCCAACTCCTTGACACTTTCTGTTTTTCATGGAAGGCAAAGGCTTTATCCTCGGGCAAAGTCTATACTCTGGGCTGGCTGCTGTAAATCCTCTGGGCCCTGGCAAAAGCAGGAGTTGGTAGCTCATTTTACTTAATTTGTGATGCTGGCAAGATTTGAGTGACAGCCTAGGGCTCTCGATTGAACTCTCCTAAATCAGGGCATTGACACATTACAGTTGAGAAACATCAGCACAGAAAACCTGAAAATAAACTCTACCAAAAGCGCTAGTTAGTAAAATTGCTAATTTTAAAAGACTTGAAAGAGATTCAGCATTTTGTTTTAGTTTTTTTACGTTTTCTTAAAAATCACCTGCTTATTAAAAAAGTGTTTTTTTTTAATACTTCACTGTAATAAGCAATTGGTAGCGTCTTCTATGCAAGAGCCTTAAAAGCCTTCACAGATATATGCAACCCAAACAACCCTGGTGAAGAAGTTACCATGCCCCTTGTTTTTGAAAGGCAGAATGAAGAAAAAAAGATCTTTCTTTGTGGTAACTAAGTAGAAGCACGTGAGGAGCTGGGACTGCTCCTTATTTTGTTCCCTGTGGATTGCGTGCAGATTTTACTTTCACTTTCACCCAGCCAAAGCTTAAGTGACAGAAATTGTTACCCTGTTTCAGGGGTGGGCAAAATGCGGCCCGTGGGCCGGATCTGGCCCACCAGGCAGTTCTGTTCAGCCTGCGGTGCCCACCAGCAAATTGTGCCTGACCCAGCCCTTCGGCATATGCGCACCCCCCAACATACCCTGTTGCACCCGCTCCCACCCTCATAGGCAGAAGGGCCCCCCTCCACCCCCACAGCGTGCAGCTTTTGGGCGGGCGGGGGCATGCAGCCGCCCATTCCCTCCCTCACATGGGAACCTGCCTGGCTTCCCGGGCGTCCAGCTTTCTCCAGGCAGCAGGTAGGGAAGCACGGGGGGAGGCCCTGGGGTAGAGGTGGTGGAGGTGGAGCTGTAGCAGCATGGAAGTGCGGAGAACAGCACAGAGCCCACACCCAAAGGGGTGGCAGGAGCAAAGAGTGTGGCTGCACCCCCTCCGTGTGCAGCACTGGCCAGAGTCCTACCCCACCAGGTGCCAGTGCCTGTGTGGCTTTAACCATTTGACTGTGCCACCTTCAGAAAAGCAGACTTGGTATGTTACGATGGACAATAGATTTCTCAAAATTAGGGTTGTATTGGCAGTGAACAAAAATGCAGATCGTTTATTTAAAGGCACCAAAGAAATCTATGCATTACTCCTGTTGGTCAACCTACAGTGAAAGTAGGGTCATGCAACTAAGATGTGTGCGTAACTTAAATCCAGTATTTTCAATTGCTGTGCACTTTGAAGTTTATTTTATTCTAATAGCAAACCTTATCAATATTGTATTTTTTTAAGTCAATCTCACAGATGTATTGATATCTAAATTGCAGTCGGTAACAGTAATGGTTGAAGGGATTTACAATTGCAAGTTCTGATGGTACAGAAAGCATCTGGGTATTATTTCACTTGTGAGTGAAGTGATATTTTTATATTTAAGAGATCTGGTAGAACAGATGAAGCAAAGGCAGAAACTCTTCTTTGTCTTGCCAGTGAGACTCAAACATATTCTGGGAGGTCTGCCTTTAGGAATGAGAGGTGCTTGCTTCAAGCCCGTTTGATTGCTGGTTTGAGGCTGCCAGCAAGGGTTCCAGTTAGTGTCAGTTGTGATGATGTCTTTTGCATTGCAGACAGCTGTCTACTTGAATGTAGACTCTTCACTCACTTCATGTAGGGCTGTAAGAAGCCATCTAGTGATAAGTAACTTTATCAGGCCAGAATGGGTCTGAAGACAGCTGCCTTCATAATTATTAATTTACTGTAGTTTATTTGTTCTTGTATAAACACATTTTTAAAGCCCCCCCCCCTAACTTTTTTTTTTTTTTAATTTTCTTGTTGCAGAGGAGGAAGAGGAACAGGTCCCCACTGATGGAGGTACATCAGCAGAAGCCATGCAGGTTCCCCTGGAAGAAGAAGGAGATATGGAAGAAGATGAGGCTGTTAATGATGAAAATTTCATGGGCAAGAGACCATTGGAAAGTCCTGATACTGAGGAAATGCCTGCTGTGAAACGACCAAAACTAGCTCTCACTAAAGCAGACGCTCTGGATGGAGTTTTGGAACCACGTGAACCTCTTAGTTCAATAAACACTCAAAAAGTGCCACCAATGCTGTCTCCAGTTCATGTTCAGGACAGTACAGACTTAGCCCCCCCATCACCAGAACCACCAATGTTGGCTCCCATTGCAAAATCACAAATGCTTACCCCCAAAACATTAGAAACAAAACCATTTGTGCCCAAGGCAAAAGTCAAAACTGGTTCTCCAGGACAGAAAACAAAATCGCCTAAAGCTACTCCATCACCAGTCATTACTGGAAGTCCCCTACGTTCACCAAAACCTGGATCCAAAGAGAAAAAGTCACCAGGTCGTGCCAAGAGCCCCAAAAGTCCTAAAAGTCCAAAGGTTCCTACTCACATTTCTCCAGCAGCAGTCAAACCTGAAACACCAAGCAGAACCCCGCTTGCTGCATTAAGTGAAAAGATGGGAAAAGAGAACATCCAAGTAAAACAAGGGCAAACACCACCTGAGCCTGGGAAACCAAACAGTGAAAATCAGATGAAGAAAGTACCAGTGATGGACAAGACCATTGATGATTCAATTGATGCAGTTATTGCCCGTGCGTGTGCAGAACGTGAACCTGATCCATTTGAGTTTTCCTCTGGTTCAGAATCTGAGGGAGAAATGTTTACCAGTCCTAAAAGACTTTCTATTTCAGAGACCACAGCCCCTAAAGCTTCTGTTTCTGCCAACAATTTAAATAAAATAGGAGCAACTCCACTGCCTCTCTCAGGAGGCACTTCAAGTTCAGACATTTCATGGACAATGGATGACTCAATCGATGAGGTCATTCGAAAGGCAAACATGGGGACACCGTCTAACCCGCCTACCAGCTTCCCTTATTTCTCCTCTCCTTCTGCTTCACCACCAACACCAGAACCTCTTCTCAAAGTCTATGAGGAGAAAACCAAACTGGCATCATCAGTAGAAGTGAAAAAGAAGCTGAAAAAAGAGCTGAGGACAAAACTAAAGAAAAAAGAAAAGCAGAAAGACAAAGAGAAAAATAAAGAGAAAAGCAAAGATAAGGATAAAAACAAGGAGAAGGATAAAGACAAAGAAGGGAACAAGGAAGCAAAGTTTCCGTGGAAGGAGCTGCTCAGAGATGATGATCTTGATCCCTATAAGTTCAAATTAAAGGACTTTGAAGAAGCTGACATGAAAATGAAGTTGAAAGATGGCAACACCAAAAAAGAGAGAGAGAAGCATAAAGATAAGAAGAAAGATAAAGAAAAAGGCAAAAAAGACAAAGATAAGAAAGACAAAGAGAAGCTTAAAGATAAAGGTAAGGAAGATAAGATAAAGGCTCCCTCAGCACCTCTTGCGTTACCTCCCAAAGAAGTGGCTTTGCCCTTGTTCAGCACCCCTGCTGCCATGAGACTTCCAACCATGTTGCCCTCCTTGTCCCCAATGCTCCCTGAAAAACTGTTCGAGGAAAAAGAGAAACCTAAAGAGAAGAAGAAAGACAAAAAAGAGAAGAAGAAAAAGAAAGAGAGGGAGAAGGACAAAGAAAAGGAAAAGAAAGAGAAGGAAAAAGAGAGGAAGGAGAGAGAAAAGAAAGAAAAAGAGAAAGAAAAACACAAACATGAAAAAGTAAGCTTTTTTAGATGTCATCTTCTGCTACATGTATGTCCACAGTTCCCACACATTCCTACACTTTGTCATCAGTTTTGTGTAAAAATCTAGGTATCTGTACGGTTCTGTGGAGAAATGCAGCTGGCTATCAGGCCCCCAAAGCTAAGGATGTATGTTGGAAGTGTCTGGATGTGTCCCACTTCTATCATGGTCAGAGCAAGGTAGTCTTAAAAATACTATTTGTTTAGATTTGCAAAACCAAAATGTGAGGACTATCTGTGCTCTGTTTCCATTTTACTTGGAGTAGGATTCTAGTTTTTATCCACTCACTTCACTAGAAAGGTGGGTCTTCTAGGTCAAGAGGCAGGCACACTGATATCGCTTTTGAAAGATGCTGGCATCTTGCACACAGGTTCTGTAGAGATCCATCCATTTGTAAGGCTAGTTCCAGTATCTTTCGTGTGCACTCTCAATTGAGTTTCTAAATGTTTACTCTGTTGGAGTTGGTGGAATTGTACTGCCTACTGGAAAAGAGGTAAATGCAAGAGAGCAGACTTAGCTTGAATGATGGCTTTGCCCATTACTTGCCCTTCCAAGCTCTGCCTATTCCCTTTAATGCAAAAAAAACCAAATTTCTAAAGAAGCCTCAGGGTCCATCCTACTGATCCTCTTAATTGTGCAGTAGGAGCTTTAAGTTCCTTTATTAGCGAGACCCCAAGTTTGGTTTCCCGTGGATCAAAGTAACATTTTTTCGGAACACGAATGTTCAAAACTGGCCCCTCATTTTGACTTGAGACACTAGGAGCCTATACATACAAAAGGCCTGATCATCCACATTGACTTCGGCTATTCAGAACCACTTGCTATTGATCTTGCCAGCTGATGTAAATCACCTCATCTTGGGAATATATCAGATATTTAACGTATGAAACAATGCTGCTTAGTTCCATTTGACCAGCCTTTAAATCACATTAGAAACTGTTTCTCCTGCTGCAGATCCTATACAAAGAGCACTGTTCTTGGGTTACTCTTTCATCCCTTCTTACAATATACAGCATCTTGATGGAAAACAGAAGAGATGGAAAACCACGTGACCTTCACGGTGTCTCCTATTATAGTTTTAATATTAGAAGCACCAGTTCCAATCAACTTACCCAGGCCCTCTGTGTGCTCAGCATTGAGTCACATACACAATCAGTATGAATGCCTCAGCTTGGAACTCTTCTCCGTACCACTGCAGAGGATTAGACCCTACTGTCTGCTTTCTAGTATTTGAGTAACAAGTATTGTTGGTTTCAAAGACTGGTATAATCTTTCTTACATTGACAAACCTAGCTAGCCATTTGCAGTCCAGACGCTCTGAAAATTAACATCTCACATGTGCTATGGATAATGTGAAGGTTGTCAGGGGTACTGTTCCATCTGTCTCTATTAATTTAACTCTTCCTGTCTAAGTATTGGAACACTGCAAAGAACGTACTATTCAGCGGGTCCTTATTTTGTTTGCACGGTTCCTCATCAGTACTGACATTTCAGAGAAATCACATACATGGATACAAGATGCTAATTATTTTTCACATATCACAGGATCTCTATTGCACAAGTATTGCTGTTGTATATAAACTGCTTATCTCTGCTCTAATTTCATTTATAGCAATATAATATATACACAACATAATATACACAAAGAAATGTAAACTATTATAGATACTATATACAGGCTATTAGATGTATATATATTAGGAAAAGGAGTTCAACGGTAATAAAAATTTGGACAGATTAAATTGACAAAGCTGCCCATTACCTTGGCAAAAAGTCCCTGTCAAAAGATAAACTTTAAAGCTAGAATGCATGAAAGAGTCCCCAGATAGAATTAAAATTTAAACTGATTCTTGATAGATAAGCTTTTTTTAAATCCACCTCTTTGCTGCAAGTCAGGATTTTAAAAATAAATTTCCCCTTTAAATCTCTTGAGCGATTTTCATTTTTTGCAAGGCCGCACTGCTGGTGTCCTGGAAAAATGGAGAGTTAGAGCTTTATCAGTTGGTGCCCTGAGGTATGTGGCAAAGAAGCTAAATCCTTGAAGATTAGCAAAAAAAATGCAGCACATGGCAATAAGGGGCTTATATGACTACTAGTATTAGTTCAGGTGAAAGAAGTATTGCTTATACATAAAACTGGACAAATCCACTGACAATGTATTTTTAGTTAGCTACAAAGGAGTCTTATATTGCTGGACTTTACCTCTTTGGTGATTTGGGAAGCTTAGTAATCCACTGTAAATGCTCTTCTGCTGGCCCCAATTCCCAGTATTACTCCAGAATGCTGCTTTTTCATTTTAACCCCTCAAAGTACATGTTTCCTTAATTTAGCTTTTAGATCACACAATGACTGACTTAGGCAGCAGTTGTGCTGTAAGTGCAAATGATCAAGTTACTGCTTGGACACTTAACATACCATGACACGTCCCTTTCAGAGGAATGAGGACGCCAGAAAAGATGGGTTGTGGTTCACAGTCTCTCCACATTTGAAACTTGATTGCATTTAAAGTATCCAGTTTGTTAAATAACATAGTAATGGTGAGTTGTACATTTAAAAATGGTGTTGCCTCTAAGGAAGGTGGAACAGGAACATTGCTAATTTAGAGCACGCTGTTTTGTTAGAACTGCTGCTTGTAAAATCAGCCTCGGGTTCATACCTCAGCGTAGCTTGCTCTAAACGCTTGCATTGTAGCTGTATGCTGCATTCCTTGACAGATAAATGCAGGGTAGTAGACAGTGGACTGCACAAAAGACAGAAAACAATAGTGTAAAGACTGCATGGTTAATGAATTAAACCAGTGGGGTCAAAGATGCAGCTCATGGAGCCCCATCATCCGATCCCCAGTGTTCTCCCTGGGGCTTGAGTTGACCCACACATGCATGCACAGAGCATGGACCTGTGCCACATGCAATGCCCACCCCAGCCTGTCTGGGAACCGCACTGCACGTGGTACCTGCTATGACCAGTCTAGGACCTGCACTGCACATGATGTCTGCCCTGGCCAGCGCCAATGTGGGTGCCACATCTGACATGCAGAGAGCAGTCTGTGGGCCTGATCCAGCCTGCATAGCCAGCCCCACACCATTCATCCAGCCTGTGGACTAGTCCCAGGCCACTCTTCTGACCCCTGGCACAACCCCAGAGGGAGATTGTAGGAGTTTCCCCACTGCTCAGTGAGAAGTAAGCTGCTCAGGGTATAAAACCTACATGATGACACAGACGTGTGTTGTAGAGAGGGAGCCCTCCACCCCACTGGCTCAGGAAAGGGATGAGGAAGTCTGTGAAGCCTGCTTGTCTTCTCACTCAGCTTCCTGTGGTGCTAGGGGGACACTTCATGCATCCTTATGCTGCCACATGAACCAAGCCATAATTTGGCATGTAGTGGGTTACAGTACTGCAGAGACATCCCAATTGAGATTGCGATTCCCACTGGTCTGATGCTGTCCCAACCTTAAGAGCTCACAGTGCAAACACACAAGACAATTGATAGGAGAGAAAATGTGCATTAAAAGGTAAAGTGACTTTTGCAAGGTCACAGCAGATCCGTGCCTGGCCTGGGAGCAGAACCCAGGTGTCCTCAATCTAGTCTGGTTCCCTGTCTAGTGGGGACCATATTGCTTTTAACAAAGTGACTAGAGAGCAGGTTTAAGAGGCATGCGTGAGGCAGAGAAATAGCAAAATTATTCCAGACAGCAGGAGCCGGAGGGAAGAAAACTGCTGCACAGCATGAGGAATGACAGAAAGGAAGGTTGTGCTGTATAAACAAAGGTGCAGAAAGTCTGAGAGAGAGAGGCTGAAACTAATCCACAGATGATTTTGTTGCACAGCACAATGAACTGTGTAAAAATGCGATGGATAGTCAGATTTCAGTTCCTTTGTGTGGAAAATGCGACATTTATACAGCCCACCTTTCACCAGCCTGGAGCTCTGCATAAGAATATATAATTGGTACACCAAGTAGCCCAACCTAGTTGCCCAGCTGAGTCCTGCGCTCTGGCCTTGCCGTCTTCCTGTGCATGTAACACCAACTTCTTTCTCATGTGGATTATTTGTGTCCCCTGTTCTTTTCAGCAGGCATCCTTAAAAAGCTGCCTCTTCCATCAAGCAAAGCGCGGGCACACATTGCAAAACCCAGCAGTCAAGATAATTTTGTGTAAAAACAAGCCTTTGTGTCATTTAGTTTGAAGGCGTTCGTTCAGCAAGTGCTTAAGCTTGTCCTCAAGTGCTTTGTTGAGTAGGGAGAGACTTAAGTAAGTGCTTAACATGAAAACTTTTTTCAAGGAAAGATCTCAAGGTATTTTTCTATCTTGGGGAGTGCTGAGCAAGCTAATGCAGGCCTTGTTCCATCTTCACCCAGAAAAATGGAATCAACCAAGAGCCAGCAGCACTTATTGACTGAAATAAGAATGAGGACACAGAACAGATGTCATTTCAGGCCCTTTGTAGCCTCTGTCCTGTTTGTAATACAGTAATACAGAACTTGCTTGTTGTGGTCCCAAGATCACAAGTGCCTAGGCATGCACTAGACTTTGCAGACATCAGTATCCTGTTCAGCACTTGCATAGGTGGTTTTAGGAGAACTGCTTAGGTTTTTCATTCTCCATGTCCAAGTTGATTCTTTAGGGGGCTTACAATTTGCTTTCTGAATCTGAGAAATAACTGCTTGATTTCATAGACATTAGGGCTGGAATGGACCTCGTAAGACCATTGGGTCCAAACCCCTGCCCAAGGGGAAGGAAGTCAGCTAGGGTCAAAGGATCCCAGCAAGATAAGCGTCCAAATGTTTCTTTAAAGTGTCCAGAGCAGGTGCTTGCACCACCTCGGGGGTGTCTGTTCTAGGCCTTGGGGGCTTAGGTAGTAAATAAGTTTTTCCTTATGTCCAGCCTAAAACGGTATTGCAGAAGTTTGTGATGGTTGGACCTTGTCATCCCCTGGGGTGCTCTGGTGAACAGGTGTTCCTTCAGATTTTGATGCACACCCCTTATGTACTTATAGGCTGCCACCAAGTCACCCTGAGCCTGTGCTTCTCCAGGTTGAAGAGTCCCATAGGTTGTACCCTTTCTTCATAAGGCCTGCTCTCCCCTCTGATCATACGCGTGACTCTCCTCTCCTCTGGACTCTTTCAAGCTTCTCTACATCTTTTTTGAATTGTGGAGCCCAGAATTGGATGCAGTACTCCAGCTGCAGCCTCACCAAAGCTGAGTACAGCGGGAGGATGACATCCTGGGTTTTGCTCCAGATGCATTGGCAGATGCAAGCCAGAGTTTTGTTCGCTTTGTCAGCTGCGGTATCACATTGGTGGCTCATGTTCGTCTTGTGGTCAATCATGACCCCCAAGTCTCTTTCAGTCATGGTGCTAGCGAGTGTAGCGTTGCTGAGCCTATATGTGTGATGCGGGTTTTTTTCCCGAAGGTGGAACACCTTGCATTTCTCCATATTGAATGCCATCAGGCTTTCATCCGCCCACCTTGCAGGCCTATCGAGGTCGGCCTGGATCACCAGCCTGTCTTTAAGTGTGGATACTCTTCCCCAAAGTTTGGTGTCATCAACAAACTTGGCCAGTCCGCTTCTGACCAGATTGTTTATGAAGACATTAAAGAGTACAGGTCCAAAAATGGAGCCTTGGGGGACACCACTAGTCACCAAGTGCCATGTTGATTCAGTTCCCTCAACTACCAGTCTCTGGGTCCGATCTCGGAGCCAGTTCCTTGCCATCGAACTGTGGAGTAGTTTAAACCAAGCTAAGAACACAAAAAAACAACCAGAGATGGGCTTCTAATAAAAGGCTGTGAGAATATTTCTCTTGAAGATGTATTGAGCTTAATAGGAATATATATATATATATGTATATTTACAACTGATGTGTTAGTCTTGTGTTGAGGCTGACAATCTTTCATATCTCTACAAAAATATCAAATTCATAAGATTTATATTAGCACAGTGTATGAACATTAACTAGTGCAGTAAAAGTATAAGTTGACTTTCCAATCATAGTGGTGCCTAGGAGTTGCAGAGATCTCTCAGCAAACCATGTGTCCTTTCATGCTACAGTTAGTAGCACTGGAAGAGGGTAAGAATCTAAAATTTGATTAAATGAATAGTCTTTTTGGCTATCTAATTCCTCACAGCTAATAAAGAAATGTTGAACATCTGTTTAGAGAAGCAGTGCCTCTAATTGTTCAATGTGTTCCCTTGAACAGATAAAGGTGGAACCAGTTGTTCCAGCTTCATCACCAGTTATTCCCAGACTGACACTGAGAGTGGGTGCTGGCCAAGACAAAATGTAAGTACAAAAAAATCCATCTGAAGAAGGTACAAGTTTATCAGGGATTCATCCCTTGCCACTTCTGGCAAATCTCATTTTCATTGAGGAACTGCTGTTAATAAATTCTGAGATCTGTAAAATCTCCTCACAGGGCTAACAAAGTGTTGATCCAAATGCTTGCCAAAAGAGAGCTCTCGCAGCTTATGTTTTTGAACTTTGGAGTGGGACTTCCCCCCTCCTCTTCTACAGGCAAAACTTTCTATATTTCTCCATTAACCCCACCAAAATTCTTTCCAGAATATAGTCTTGAAACACTGGACTAGCCGGATCACAATGTGGTTTCCAGCAGTAGCTAGTGAAAACCTCTTTAAGTGGCAAACCTTACTCCAAGAAGCTTCTCAATTCTGCAGTTAGCAGTTACTTTATGCCCTGATCCCCTGTATACATTTTTATTTTAGTGTAACTATTGGTGATTCATTATCTGCATGAATCTTTTTAAATCTTGGTTTGCTCACGAATTATTGTATGTATAATAACACCCAGTTAGTTATATTGCTGCGGGTGCTAGATACATATATGACAGTCCCTGTCACAAAGAGCATACAGTCTAAATAGGAACAAAATGATAGGTGCAGCACAGAGGAGAGGAAGAAGAGAAAGACGTGGCATTGAGTTCCACAGCCTGGTTATGCATCGCAGGTAAAAGTGTTTTCCTTTAGTCAGGTTCTCAAGATGTGCTGCTTTAATTGCAAAGAGTGAGTACTCATGCCTTTCACTAAGAGACGGTAAGATTAACTACGTCTCTATGGTAAATGTTAGCTCTCAGCCAGCCTTTCCTCTAGCATTCATTGTATTATGTACTTCTGACATGTTGCTTCCTTATGTCCTTTCTAAACTAAATAGTCTAATCTTTTTAATCTCTCCTGTTGTACTATTAACAATTGTTATTAATGTCATATGCAGTCTTTCTTCCTCTCTTTTTATCTATTTTTTAAACTTTTCAGAGACATCCTATTTGAGATAAAATATCTGTCGCAGTATTCAAGGTTTCATCTTACCTGCCATCAGTTTATGTAATGGTATTTTGACGCCATGAGAGTGTTCTGAGAGTAGTCACTGATGGGCTGGATATCAGCTTCTGGGACAAAAGAGTTGTAGAGTTTTGCCTGGGTTTTTGAAGAGTAAGTGTAGTGTGGAAGCTTAGGTTAGACAGAGGTTTTGAAAAATACAGGCAACCTGGAACTGTTTGTCTGGATGCCTGGTATAGACAAAGGTTGGTCCATCTTGGAAGATTTGTACAACTCTTGTAACACTCATTGTGTTTGGGAGTGTAGCTTAGGCTAAGGCACGTTCCAAATTGGAAGACTAAGTTAAATCTGGCAAAGACCTGGACCAGTCTGGAAATACTTTTGTTTAGCCTAAAAAAAGAATTAGTCTAACTTCCATTGTGGAGAGTTATGGCAGGTGGGAGCTACATTATTATGAAATTGCTATGGAAAATGTTGTCTGTTGTCTTTTCAGTTCCCACAGGACCCAAAAATAATAGTCATTTCTTCCCTCCCCTGCCCCACAGTGCTTTCAGTACTTCTTCTCTGCATTTTCCCCTTTTCAATGTTTGAGTATGATCTACAGTTCACCTGCATCAGATTGTTCTCCGCTAGGCTTTATATTTTCTAAAATATATTCTATTCCTTTCTCATGTCTGACTTGGCCAAAGGCAGCTGGGTAGAATGTCCTTTTAAAGCTCAGTAGCACACTTTCCTTGCAGACGACTGGAGAATGCTTTTAAACAGCTCTGTTAACAGATTTTGTAAGTGTTGTGTATAGTGAGCATGTAGGTCAAGTGAGAGCCTAAAACTAAGCTCCTAAATCCATCTTCAGGTACCAACAGTGCCCACCATGCTTGTCTTCTTTCTGACCTACCCTAGCCCACATGCATTTTGAATAGAGGCGTCAGGCATTTGTTAACCATTGCCCACCACATTTTCCAGTTCACATACCCATAAGGGTCAGACACATCAACATGTTTCTACTTGATCTCCATATTTATCTCAGACTCAAATTTCTTCCATCCCAACACCACAGTATAACCCACATAGATCCCCAGACGCAGTGCAATTCTATTAGTCCATGTTTAGGCAGCCCCAGTGTCTCCATCACTGTCACCATACCTGGTCTACTCTTCCTGTAGCTGGGGAAGAGCATGAGATTGCACAGGACCCATGCCCCAATGCAGCATTCCTAATGCCCCATTATTCCATCCTATTCCCCACCATACCAAGCCTTTAAGTGTTGCATTATGTAAGTATTTTGAAGCTGAACATGGTAAAGAGTGAGGATGTAGGGAATACCTGTTGTGGAAGGGAGAATGGAAAAATCAGAGAATGTGGGCACAGGGCTCAGCATAGGGATCTGTGGTGGGCTTGTGGGAAGGGTACCATGGGGGAGTATCATAAGACCTTGGGCTCTGTAAGGATCAGCAGTTATAGCTATATTAGTTAGTATCTTTCTCCACTGATGCACATTTATTTAAAAACCTGGGAAATCCCTATGCTTGGAGGTAGTAATCGGGGAGGTCAGTCCCAAGGCCACTGCAACCATCAGGGCACCTTAGGTGCTGTAACAATCCTTCTCCACTCTGAGGTCAGCTGAGTTGCTTTGCATCATTGGTGATTCTTCAGGCAGAATAACCTGGTGGCACCCATCACCTCCCCAGGTATGGATGGCTGTTGGTTTGCAGGGAGGTCATCCACCCTTTGACAGGTTTTTGGTCCTGCTGGGTGTCCACACATCCTCCTCACCCAGGCAAGCCCAGGTGGGGGTACCAGTTTAGTTGTCGACAATCCAGTTATAGAACAGGCTGTACTGGTTTACATGGTGCCAGATAGCAGACCAAGAGGGGCCTGGCCTGACAGACAGTTATCAGGGAATGCTGGTGCAGACCGCATGTTCCACCACAGCCAACCAAACAAGCGTCCAAATATTGTTTTAAAGCTGCATCTGTATTCCCCTTCTCTTTTCTGCCTCTGCTCTCACTCTTCCGCAGAGCCATATAATTCTGTGAGGCAGAGATCTCTCTTGGTAGGTGTTCATCCAGAACTCAACGCAGTAAAGCCTTTGATTGAAGCCTCCGGGACAGGGATTCTCATCTGATGTGCTGCAAGAACCTGCCACAACACTGGCCTACCGCCACTGTGGGGTGAAATTGCCCCTCACGCCCCTTTTTCTTGAAGCACGTTGGAGGCAAACTGGAAAGAACTTCAGCAGAAACGGAGTGCTTGCTGTAATGCAGGCAGGTATGCTTTTCCGCTGCAGCCACTTCTCAGTTCAACTCTGACATGCCTCCTGAAAACAGGTGCGTGGGACAGGTCTGTGTGCCCTGCACACCTGTGTATCCAGGAGATACCATGCAAGGCCAGACCAGGAAAGGCTGGGCAAGAGTACACACTCCTACCACATCTGTTTCTCAGTCTGGCTCTGCAGGAGACATGTGGCTGAGACCCACCTGGCTGCAGCAGTGCTGGCATTGGGGTGAATATAATATAATTAGAATGGTTGAATTGATTGCTAGCATATTTCATTAATGATAGGATTAGAAGGTTTCTATTATGATATGCATCGTATATTTTTTTTGAATGGAATGCTGCTTAATTTTGAGAAGTCCTGGAGGGGCATCTTGAGTCTAAAAAAAGATTGAGAAAAAACCACTACTCTAGGAGCTTCTCCAATATAAATCTGCTTTCAACCTGGGAAGCTAACACTCAGTCCTAGCTCAGACTGCTAATTGCACATTCTTGTGCTGTGCTAATTCTTAGGAGGTCGGTGCAACTCTCATTGCCTGCCTGAGTATAGGTCTGTGTGTGGTTTGGTAGAAGTATGTGCAACTGAGGAGGAGCCAGATTGCAAATGGCAGCGGCGAACTAAATTTTTTCTCTGAAGTGTTTATGGAACAAAATGTCCATGGCAGATCACCAGAAGTGGGCATTGAACTCGCCACATCTGGAACAAACACTGCAAGCATCTACTGCCTGAGCTAAAACACTCGGCTGTGTTAGCACCAATGCTAGAGCAGGATCTTCAGTCTCTTTGTAGTCCAGCCTCGAAGGCAGGCACAAAGAGCAACATTGTGCTAGGGTGGGTTACAGTTAGGAGAAGTTTGGTGAATGCTTTGTCTGTGTTGATAGTTCCGCTTCTTAATTGGGTAGTCATTTTAATATGGAAATTACAGTGTTAAGATCTGCACTGATGCATTTGTGGCTGAAGTCAAAGTTGCTTCTGGGGTTGCTTGAGGCTGCAGATAAGTAGGCTGTGTGTGGTGGAAGTGAGTTATTTGAAGTTGAGAAAGGGAACTGAGGAGTGAACTGTAGACGGGGTATTGAATTATTTAGCTGCTGAGTCCCTTGATTGCTGCAGTTTACCTAGGTAGGACATACTTTCAGGTTAGCACTGTGCTTTTGGAGGAGTTTAACTTAAAACACCGTGTTCCGGGGTTAGTTTCAGAGAGAGGCAGAGCCATAAAGAGCTGCTTCATATTCTTCTTAGAGATGCCAAGATAGGTGGCACTTGAAATGGAAACTCTATCCACACAGTAAGTACAGCAAGCCGACGACAGCACAGGCATCCTCTCATGTGCTTCAGCCCTGACTTCAGACAGACCACCTGAGCAGCGAGGGGGCAGCTCATTCTCTCTACCTATTCAGCTCTCAGCCTTTCTGCTGAGACTGACGGCCAAGGTGGAAGCCCGTGTCAATTGTGATGGAGATTTTTAATTCTTCATAATTCCTAAAAATGCTAATATCTCCTGGTCCAAGTCAGAAAGCAATGCCTCCATTTAGGTTGGCGCTACATAAGCGTACTATCAGTCCTAAGAATGTGGCTCTTCATAATTCCTTACAAATGTATGGGGTATAATGTCAGGAAAATCGACATGAAAGCATAGCTTGTTACTGAAGGATAAGTAGAACAATGTAGAAAAAAACAGTTACACTTTAGGTTTTTGCAAGTGCTTTAACTGCACA